GAGTTTTAAGGGGGTTTTTTTTTTTTTTTTTTTTTTTTTTTTTTTTTTTTTTTTTTTTTTTTTTTTTTTTAAGTACTGTGTAGCAGGTCTTTCCCCACAAGGTCTCTGGTATAATAGTGTGGGTTACTGTATGAGTGCTGGTTTCTACTTTCTCCTTAGCCTGGCTCTCTTTTTAATGACCTAAAAATGGCTGGTTTCAGTTGCAATGTGCTGTGCTTACGCTCGGCACCTCTGCATTGCCGGCACCAGAGCCATCATTTCCTCACTGCCCATGACTTGCATCAGGCTTCAGCTGATTCCCCCCTCACCCCATGCTTTTTCTTCTCTCCTGATCTGTTACACCATCTTTCCAATATTAAAACGTACTAGTTGGTAACCCAGTTTAAGCAGAGGTGAATCCTTCACGTTGAGGTTTCTCAAGACAGATTGAGGTCCATCCGTGCTGCTTAAAGCCGGCTTTGCAGTGATGCAGGTGGGAGAAAGGTGGTTGGGGTGGAAAAGTGCTCTGCTCCCAGGGGACAGGACCTCTGCGTGGATCTGTGGCTGCTTCTCCACCTTATACCATGTAAGAAATTGAAGCCGATGATGCTCAGAAAGACACATCCCATGTGTTTTCTGCTCTGCCCTCCGCCACGCTGCAAATGCCTTGAACACCCACTCGGTTTCTAGATGCAGTTGATAGATGTGTAGCAAATATTGTGGGTGGCAGAATAGATACCCAGAATTTTCCCAGTTTTGCACAAACAAAATCTGGAGCGTGACAGTCTTTGGACACTCCAAGACCAGAAAAACAGAAATATATTTGTATTTAAATAATGAACAACAACTGATTGCAACTAGGGATGTGAATACGGTCCTTGTACATACTGCACTCAGTATTTATTTATGTTTAACATAAATATAACAGAATTATAGCATCATCTGAGATTTTGTCCATCTAACATAAGCAAATTCCGTTAAACATGAGGGAAGAGACCTTCAACCGTAGGAGCTACCAGACCTGATAAAAGAATTAGTAGGGAAGCTGAATTAACACCCTGGCATACTCCAGATAAGTAACACATCGTTCAGATTAAAAATGTGCACATCCAGAACCCAGCTAAATTTCAGCTCGGAGCAAGTAATCACAGCCTTCCCTAACCCAGATGTCATCCCACGCTTTCAGTGAGATAGAGCTTGCTTCTCCCCTTAAATTACTGCAATGTAGTTTCCCTACTCTTTGCTTTGTTTTGGAGAGGAACCATTTTATTCGTGTTCACTTCTCTTTAATGAGGTGCTTAGGAATTAAATGTAGTTCATAAATACAGGGTGATTTATTCCTGGGTTTTACTGGAAAAGAAGCTTAAGCTTATTTTCTAAAGGAAGCTTTCAGAAGCCCTGTTTTCAAGGATGTTTTGTGAAAGAAGGTAAATGCATCCTATGGTAAGACCAAAATGCATATTGTGAAAGTGTCTTCCTGTAATAATATAAACAGGACAATTAATTATAAGGCTAAAATATTTTTTCCGTGTATTATGAGATAACTGAGGCTGCAATTCTTAATTGTAGGACTATTTTATGCTAAATGGACTTCATGTGAATAATTAGAGGTGTCTGCATGTTGAAGAATAGAGGCCACTAAGTGTTTTGTATTGCTGATTTTCACAGTACGGAAATCAGTGCATTGCTCTCCGGGTAATTACACATGTCACGGGCACGCCTCCAGCGGGCATGGGGCATTTCTGTGGCAGTCAGAGGGATGCAGAACTGGGGAAATGGTCAATACACCTAATCTTAAAGGGTTACATTACATTAATCATTTTCCTACTGGAGTTAAAGTGGTTTACCCTGATTAGCTTAAAAAAAAAAATTGCAGTGGCCAACACTGTTCATAATTTTTCTATTAAAGGGATATAAGTGAAGTAGCTCGACATTATCAAGCACTAGCTGCCCAACTTTTGTAAGAAGACTAAGAACCCTTCCTTTCTAATGTGTTTTAAAAGCACTCCCTTAAACGTGATCACACACATCATCCTTGTTAGAGAAAACTTTCTCGTAATTAAATGCTCGTCAACCCATGAAAGTATTGCCCAGTCATCTCTTTACCTAAAATAATTGCAAACACACATGAACCCCAGTAAAAGCTGAAAAGGGAAAACTTTTCTTAAAGGCATGTCTGGGCAGAGCATCCACCTCATTAGGACTGCTGTCTCTTGTCTTCTTAGTGTGTTATAAGTGGAAAGTATTGGAGGGTGAGGTGAGAGGAGGTGTGTGCAGATGGTGTCAGCATGTTGGTTAATTCAGAAGATACCCAGCTGCCCAAATGCAGTCCTGGTGCAAACCTTCTCCTTGTTTTGCCTGTGGTCAGCTGGGGAGAGGGGGGTGGAGGCAGAGGCTCCGTGCAGGCTCTCCTGATCCATCAGGGCCCAAACCTCCAGGCTGTATTTAGGGGACCGAGGGTGGGTTCTGCATCCTCCATAGGGCCAGCATAGGAATGTTTGCAGCCAAATGGGGGAATCCCCTCCGGAAGTCAAATCCCCGCATATCTCCCACCAGAAGCGCATCACTCAAGAGGCAAATCCTGGTTCTAGGCAAACCTCAGATGTTCACATCTTCCAAGGAAGTTCATTTACAATACAAATTTGATCCCCCGAGTTTTGAATATATGATCATCTCCTTGGCAGCTCTGCTCTGATGAGCAGCGATTCCCTGCATCCTCAGTGTGCCGCTACTGCAGCAAACTTCCACTGATTCTGCACCTATTAATTAGATCTCCAAATGTATAATTTTGGGGACATGAATAATTTTTAAGACGATAAGGAAGTTAATGCCATGCTCCTGCATTGCTTATGATCTTGCCAAATATACCAAAAACCATCTCACTCTGTAAATGACAGGATGACATTTTATCTTTTAAGTGTGTTCAATTGATTGTGAAAACACGCTGCTGGTCTTGAAAGAAAGTGAGCGAATGGAAGCCACTGTTAAAAAGCGAACCTTTATCTTTGGAATTGTTTGAGAGTCCACCATTTCTATTTATGTTTTATTCTAAACATTGGAAAATATGAATGTATTTCCAATACTGCGTGGTAGAAGAACGAAGAATGTTGCATGTGGGCTTCCATAGTGGCAACTGCTGTATCAAAAAATGTACTGTTTTCACCTATTATTTATAGTTACATCTTGGTATTCATATAACTATTTATGTATTGAGATATATATAAGAATACCTATATATTATTTATAGAAGAATAAGTATATTTTTAAAAACTTTTTTCGTCCTTCCCAGTAATGTTTAGGTATTCCCTGAGCCACTTTGCGCTGGAATTAGACTGCAGTTTGATTAGTGCCCATTTCCCCCGAGAATTTTCTCCACATCGTCTTCTGTTTCCACCAGCCATCTCGAAGAGCTCTAACCCAACTGACAGCTGCATGAGTTATTCACACACCATTAATCTCAGACCGCAATAGGGGTTTCAGTGGTGAAACAGTAATTTAGAACAGTAAGTTACATACTGACAAAGGAGAAACACTCTGCTAAAAATTGGAAATCCGGCTGCATACAGTAAATCTACGCTAATACATCTCTTAAGATGCTTTTGATTAGCAACTGGTCTAAATCCAGCTAGTTAAGCTCTTATTTTCGTTTCACTGGGGGTCTGCAGCAGAAGGGATGAAGAGAATGAGAAAGCTCCCAGGTGCGTGCAGGAGAGCCTTTCCTGCTAGCAAAGCCACCGCTGAATGAATGGGCTTGGTCGGAGCCAGTCTGTTCTGCAGACAAAGTCCATTATTTTAAAAGAATCCACTGCCAAGTGACCCAAAGGAGCACTTCCCTTGGTAATATAAAAGCAATGTTTCATCCTTCTTCTTGAGTTTTATTTACTGAATTTTGTAAAGTGCCGTTTCCGCAGGGCTTCAGGCGCAGGTTCGTAAAGCCTCACGTTTAAGGTGTGCACCTCACACATCATTGCAGCTCTGTTTCTCAGATGAGAATGAAACAATTCCAGCCTCTAGAAATGGCCTCAGCACTTCAGCTCTTACAGCAGCCTCAGCCCTTCATCATCGCTTTCGCCAAACAATATTGACTTTCTGCTAAAGAAAGACTTCTTCAGCAAGTAGTTTGGTGTATGACTAAATATTTCAGAACTAGGCTGACGAGCGTGGAGTGGCTCGGATGGAGCCTCCTATTGCTTGTTCAAAGGGGGTGCAGTGCTAACAGGCGGTGCCTGACTTCGGATGATGTTTCAGTAGAGTATGCGACACGAGTTGGCGATCCCTGTCCACTGCAGAACCAACAGCTGCCTTTAAGAAATCACACAAACAGCCTAGTGCACAGTCATCCTTGAGGTCTAATGAAGTGTGCTGGAGGATTTTTGCTGTTGCAGGTTTTAAACCATGTTACGTGCTCCTATTGGGCTGTATCATCCAGGGGGGTGCATGGAAATAGCCGTTCCTTATGGGCACGCTCTGCTCTTGAGGAGCCAAAAATTACTGTGTTCATGGAACTGGGCATTTCTTAGGAATCAGTAAATTCACTAGCTCTAGTTACAGGCATGAAGGGCTGACCCCGAAGACAGTATTCATCTTTTATGGTACCCACCTCTTCTCCTGCTTTGGTTACGACACACTTCTCTGTGGTGTGGCTCTGCCCCTACCTCTGAGCTTCTGTAGCTTCAGGGTACAGAGGAGATCTCTATCTGTCTTCCTATAAACTGTTGCAGTCCAAAATTTGTATCTTTGAAGTCTTTTTAGGTGAAATCAATTGTATTTCTTCTGTCAGCTGCTAACGTCAGTGTTGTGTGTCTCTGTTCCCTTCTCTTGTTTCGTAGGGTGGACAGTGCGGAGAGGGATTGCAGGTCCGCAACCTCACATGTGTAGTGCACGATTCATCTGTTTCTGTTACATCCAAACCAGTAGAAAATGCATTGTGTGGTGAGCTGCCCTTGAAAGAGAGCATCCTGCAGTTACCGTGCTCTGTGCCTTGCCCAGGTAAAGTCTTTGGAAAGTCACGGTGCATTTTTGCCTGTGATAGCCGTCTGAGATGGAGATGCTTCCATAGCTCTGAGCACTGTCAGTCACCGTAGTAAGAATTTGTATTGTTTTTAGAAAATGAGATTCTTACGAAGCAGAAAATCTGAATAATTCATACCACTGGGCGATAAATGGGGTATTTCACTATTACACCTGTTGTATGCTTAGGGTGTCCTTATCCTTCAAGGCTGATTCCTTTTGAAAAACCTGTGATTTATTCTTTCAACATGCAGGTGACTGCCACCTGACAGAGTGGTCAGAGTGGAGCTCCTGTGAGCTCACCTGCATCAATGGCAGGAGCTTCGAGACAACGGGGCGCCAGTCCCGATCCAGGGCATTTATTGTTCAGTCTCCCGAGAACCAGGAGAGCTGCTCCGGACAAGCAATGGAAACGCGACCTTGCTCAGGTAGCGTGGCCACAGCGCTGCTTCCTCCCGTCCAAGAGTTTATTCTGGTTTTGTTGCAAGGTGAAGACTAATTGGTTAACTGGTATTGATGTTGCAGGAGGGAAGTGCTATGACTACCTGTGGAAAACCAGCCTTTGGCGAGACAATGTACGCACAGTGTGGTGTCAGCGCTCAGATGGAATAAATGTCACAGGTATATCCAAAAATTGCCGTGCATGGCTATGAGTGAAAATCTCCATCCAGGTTTTTCTTCTTCTGCATCAGTTGCTCAGAGGGCAGCTGGACAGCCTTCCTAATTCTGCCAGAGTTTCAGTTCAGATTTGTGTGTAGGAAAGACAGATGGGAGCTCACCAGCCTTGCTGTCAGGTCAACATCACACATGTCTTTACGGGAGAGTATTTGGGTGAGTTACCCCTACTGTTGGGTTGGTCACGGGAAGAAATGAGTGTACATGTACTAAAAGGGCTTCCTGGGCTGGCTTGCAGAGCCGTTAGTGCAACCTTCCTGTAACTGTGGAGAACAGAGGAGAACATCACATGTGTAGTAGAGAGCCCAGCTTCTGTACTTCTTCTTCTATTCAATACACAGGAATCTCAAATCACTCAAACTGTGAGATTCCTGTGAAAAAGGGAAATTCATGGTCAGCACTTTGAAGCTCCGCAAGAGACTGGCAAAGGCAGTAGGGCTTGCACATCCGTAGGATCTCTCTCAATATGCACAGGGTGAATGAGGAGAGTAGAAATGAAAATGCAGATGTTCCTATCTAGTTCTATTTATAATGACTAGTTAAGATAATAACAAAAGTTTTGTGTGCAAGGGTTGCCGAGTAGTTAAGAACTCATTAACATGTTTTTATTCCTATAGAAGCACAGACTTCCCCAAGTGAGGATGGGCAAAGGCATTATGTGGATTATGTCTTCTTATGTAGATAAGACATTAATGAGGACACAGAAGATCTGCATCTAATTCCTGATTCTGTCCCCAACTTCCTATGTGGCCTGTGGCAAATTGCTTAAATCTGTGTATCTCTGTTCTCCATTAACAAGATGGGTATGATAATAATTCCCTGCCTTGTTAAGGCAAATTAATTAATGCAATGCCTACAGATATTATGCTAATGTGCTCAATAGACTAGTATTTAACTATATAAAATAAGTAAGCAAGCACTTCTTACGCTCTGGTGTTCCCAGTCAAAAACATTTTAAAACATACCCTTGAAGGCACTCAGTCATTTCTTTTACAGGAGGGTGTACTCTTCGGACGAAACCTGCAGACGTTCAGCACTGCAGCCCAGCGTGCAGAAAGCCATTCTCCTACTGCACACAGGTAATTGCTCGCTGCAGAGTATGGTTGAGAAATTAACACCGCAAAATCTGTTCAATTAGCTCCTGTATCTTAACTGCATTCCAGGACCTAGAAAATAGTTTAGTGTGTCCATGGTACCACCTCGAGGAAGTTGTGGGAATTTCAGCCTGAAAGGAAACCATAAACCTGCACAGACGAGTGATGGAGTGTTTATGTGGTGTTACTATTTGGGGTTTGTTCTGTGGAGGAGTTTTGGAACCTCTTGGTTTCATTTTCATTGAATGCTATTGTACTGTCCCATAGAAAATGGACTGTAAACTTCTGTAAGAGAGGAGATGAAAGACTATGTCCTCTCCTGCTCCTCCATGGACACAGAAAGCCCCTGTGAGCATAGGGAAGAGCACACAATCCCACCATCCCCACACTGCCTTCTGAAGCAAAACCTGGAAGTGACCTTTTTTCCTGAAATTCTGAGCACCTGCAACACCTGCTGAATCTTTGAGCCACCGCCACTCCTTTGCCTCTGAGCAAACGTGAGCCCAGAGGTTACGACTGTCCCTTCTTGCAGTACCGAACTCCCGAGTAAGAGCTTCCCAAAATGCCTTATCTGTGTCAATACTGGGACGGAGAATACAAACAAGGACCCTTAAAGTAGCCAGGAGCAGCTGGAGTTTAGATATTTATATTTTGAAAATAGCCTCCACAGCCCTCAGCTTCAGATGAGTGTCTGGTGGGAGGAATTACCATTGGAAACTAGCTCATGGGCAACTGGATGTGCCTGAGAGGGTGGTCATGAGAGTGCTCAGAGCCTATGGGAACGTAAAAATGATGGGTAAGCATGATTTCATTACCTGTAAAAACTCTTGAGACTCCACCTTTTCTCCAAAAAAGCTCAGGATCATGTCTGTCAGCAAGTGGGGAATGTTGTGGCAACAAAGCTGATGTCAAGAGTTAAATTCTTGTCACAGAGATTGTAAATCAGTCACCTGTTTGGGTTGTAACGAGGGTATCAGACCCTCAGACAGGCATTGTAATTATAAGGTAATTAGCAAAGGAAAACAATCTAAAGAAGCTGTTTTAAAGTAGAAATCCAGAAAATGGAGTATCTGTTTAGCAAACCACAGACTTCTAAGAAACCTCTTGAAGAAACTGCTTAGACTGATCCAGGGCAGTGAATATTTGGCCGTAAGAAAGCTGGCTTCATTTTAGATAACCCTGTGAAATTCCAGAGTGGAAATACATCGGGAGGGTTTGGGTCTTACATGGGATTGTTTCTTGTTCGTCTGTTCTAATGCCCAGCAGGGTTAGTGGGAAAATTTTTTGACAAAGGAGTTTGGATCGAGCCACGGATGCCTGTTGTTAAGCCTGTTAGGATGAAAATGTTTGTATGTTGGGCTTCTCTGTAATTACTGACTCTTTTTCAGCTAAATCTTCAAATATATTTTGGTTTTTTGAACCAAAATAGGTTTGTGGGCACCGATTCGTGGCTTGCTTGGCTTGGTGGTGGTGAAGTTGCATGTGCCAGATATACCTTCATAGTCTGCTACAATTTGCACTGTTCTGCGAGAGGACACTGTTTGGTTTAATACTGAATTCCCTTTTATCGCCTAGAGAGGAGTCTGCGGTTGTGAGCGAGGATATACAGAAATAATGAGATCAAATGGCGTCCTGGATTACTGCATGAAGGTACCAGGTTTAGAAGATAAGAAAGCTGATGTTAAGACCATTGCTGGAAAAAATAAACCTGTCAACTCAAAAATGCATGACATTTTCAAAGGATGGTCTATTCAACCTTTTAATCCAGGTGAAAAACTTAAATATGAATGGAATAAATTGTCCTTACAACGTTTCTGTAGAAGAAAGGTACAAGCTTTGTAGATCATAACATCAGAGATTGTGTCTGGGAGCTGCAGAGCAGCCTCCCAGTTTCTCACTCGCATGCCGTCTTTCATTCCTTTGTGCCTACACAGAGTAATCACAATCTCTTATGTTCAGAGATAGCAAAGGCAGGATGAAGCAATAATATTTTGCAAAAATATACTCATATGTGATTTCGGGAGATGCTTAGAACTATTATCTGATGGTGTTTCCAGAAGTAATATGTTTGGACCAGGAAAGATACTGATCACTAGTGCTTCAGAAGATTCAGAGCAGAAAGTACTTAAGATTTCATTAAAGAAAACATTCGTTGTGTCTTGCCGTATTTCAAAAGTATATGGAAAAAAAAAAAAACAAAACAGGGTAGAAAATGTAGAGTTTAAAGTGTTGAAGTTAAGACATTAAGAAATGCCCCACAAAAAGCAGGCAAGGTGCTGCGCCCAAGCAGTGCATCCCAAGCGGATCTTCGACTTCCACACCATAAAATGCTTCCCAGTTGGAACCACATGCTGGACGTGCCCAGACAGGTCCACAGGACTGGTGCTGTAGCTGTAATAGCTGATTACCATTTTGACTGTTATTTTTCAGGACCAATTTATTAAAAATAAATTTCTAAAATGCAAATGGGACTTTAAAATGGGAGACAAAGGTGTCAGGTGCATCAAGTCTTACTTAAATGTGTTAGTTCTCCCCATCTTCTAAAGCACTGGCAGCGCAGTCTTCCCCCCCTTCTGTTACCTGGCATTGCATTTGTTTCCTATTAGTTTGTAATGAACGCGAGACTTCAGAAAACATGTAACGAAAGGTTCTGCTAGGGGATTCGGGGAGCCATAATTCTGTCTGATATATGTGATCACACTTTGAATGTTACATTTACATATTTGATTTGCATACAGTAGTTAACCTTTGCATTGACAGTCTCCGAGCTCATAGAGCTCAGTCCAAAGCCTTTTAAAGTCGGCTGGGTTTCCATCAAACCCATCATCCAGAAGCCCACGCAGTTCACCAGTGGCTTGAGTCACAGGTTTGGGGTTAATTGCCTTTTTGTCAGCATCCGTGGCCCTCTGTAGGCGGTCTCACTTAGGTGTCATCTCTTTAGCTGGTACCTTTACGGGGTTAGAAAAAGGGAGAGCAGTGTAGGTGGATGCTGCAACCCTCTCTTTTTAAATCAGCATTCAAGGCTGCAGCCCTGAAAGCTTCTGGTGGGCTTGACCTCAGCACAGCATCTGCGAGCCAGTTCTCCCCCAGGGACTGCAAGACAGAAACGGGGACTAAGGAGCTTTTACAGAACACGGTGTTATTTAATATTAGGGCAGAAATGTTATAGAAACAATGTATGGGAAAAGAATAAACGTGCTCCATGTGTGCTGAGTGTATCACCAACCCCATGGCATCCTGCAGGTAACTCTTCTGTATGTGTCCTTCAGACCCCAGCTCAAGGCTGGTGCTCTTCAACTCACTCCCCTTTGTCTAACTTCTTGACAAAATATGTAATTGCTCCCCTTAAACAGGCTCTCAGGCTTACTAGTCTGGGGATTTGCAATAATTACTGCTAGCTGAGCCAGAAAACCGCTGTTACCTACCAGTTACGCCCTCAACAGCAGGTCTATGGTGAATGCTGCCTGTATGGATGGCATTTACTGCCCTTCAGTACCATAGTCCTTGACATTTGTGTATGTCTAAGGACTTATATCTGTCAGTAAACGTATACCTGCCTTCCTGCAGTTAATTTGTGATTTTCCTTCCCATTTACAGTTTGGAACATAAATTTTACTATGATTTAATGAGGCTGATGTTTTTGTTCTTTTAAATGCTCTGCAGGAGTGCACAGAACTGATTTGGAATCAGGCTGTGGTTTTCCTTTCTTTACCACACTCTGGGAGGCCAGAGTTCAGGTAAAGAAACTTTCTTCAAGTTGAGAGGCAATTTAAATAGCATTGTTTAAACTGTAGGATGACATGGTCCGATGCCTTTAGGTTGGGATGGAGAACATAGCTGCTTTCATAGCAGACACGGTGGGATGCCTTTTTGTGGCTGTGGCAGTCCCTTTGCAGGGCTGCTAAATGTTTCTTGGCCATCTCCACTTGAGAGGGTGACAAATTTCATACCCAGACTTCAGAAAAAAAAAAAAAAACCCAACCCAGACCTGACAAGAGGAGCTCTTCTCATATGGGAGATAGGCTGTAAGTGTTCTGCGGAAAAGAGAAATCTGTGCGAGAGGTACTCAGCCTTTCCACAGAGCCTGGAGGAAAAAAAAAGAAAGAATGGGATCTGATTAAATATGTTTCCCTTTGAAAAAATTCATCATTCGAACAGAAAATGTGAAAGAGGCTCAGTGATTGTCCTGTGTAGTAACTCCTCGCTCGCATGGCGGAGTTTGAGATGGCCGCTGTCCGACCACGTCCGTGGGCACGATGCGGGCTCCTGTTCCCCCCTCCAATCTGTGTTAGCAGCTCTGTCCATGTGAATCAGCTCAGACCGCTGCCACACGGAAAAAACACCATCGCATCGCCCCACAAGGAAAGCTGTATGGCCAGAATGGAGCAAGAAACAGAAATATTGTGCTTTTAAAAGTTATTATTATTAATGCAAAGCCCGTAATCAAGGACCTGTCCAAATAAAATGTTTTGAGACTTTCTATCGGAAGGAAGTGTTTCAACACACATAAGCTCACGTGTGTGCGAAGGGGTTCCCACAGGGTCACAAAGTGGGTCCCCTGTCGTTCCAACCCAAAAGGCCTTACCTTGTCTGAAAGCCACTCGTGTCTCCCGCTCCTGTGGCCCAGCTAGAAACCTCTTACACAGCTTTGTTCCTCTTTCTATTACAAAGCGCATTCTTGGTTTTATTCTAAGCCGAATTTATTCCCATTTATCGCCCAAGCTCTTTTCAGCTCTAAGTAGCTTGTTCACTCGTGCTCGCTGGTGTCTGCCCCAGCTGACCCCCAAGTATTTGGGGAGAACAATCCCATCCCTTCTCAGTCCTCTTTTCTTTAGGCTGAACGTATCAGGTGTTGGCTGCCTTTCTCTCTGGGTCAGCTCCACATTGAACTTGCCTTTGGCTAAGGAGCCGCTGGGGCTCCCCAGCGAACACTCTGCAATTATCTCGTGCCCCTGCTCCCTTCCACGGGCAGGAACTTGGCTGGGTTGTGTTTCTCGTGCTGCACCATAAGCCCGGGCTCCTCGTAATGAACGGCAGGAGCTCAGCCAGAGAGGAGGTCATGAAATAACGCCGCTTCGGAAAACGGAGACGAAGTGTTCCTTTTTGGTTTTCTCTGAGGAAAATCTACACTCCTGACCAAAGTTGAGATTTTGTCTTTAAAATGATTGATTTTTACAGGGATCTTTTTTTTCTTATAAAAAATGTGGGGTTTATGGATTATTCCCAGGCAGTCCTTGCTGTGTTTCCCATCAGTGATGCTACTAATTTTGCTTGTGTGCTTTCTCTTTACTTAATCTCTTAAAAATTTGTGTTCTTTAAAATAAAATTTTTTATTCTCCCCTTTTCTCTCTCTGTCCTTCCAACAGATGGTAAACTGAAGATGTGGGTATACGGAGTATCAGCTGGCGGGTTCCTCATCATAGTTTTCCTGATTTTTACATCCTACCTGATGTGGTGAGTATGGCATATATTCTGTTCTTAAATAAAAGCTAGGGGGGTTTTATTTCAACAATCCAAAACCTATCACAGTGCTGCAGAGATTCAGTCCTCAAGGCTTTAGGGAGGAGTGGAGCTTGGATTACTGAACTGCCTTCATTTCGCCCCTACCTCAGAGTAATTTAAAACTCTCCGAATTGTAAATGTTAACAGATGTAAACGTGAAGAAGTATGGTGGCCAAGCAGGGAAAGAATTATTTTTGGTTATCAATAGGCACTTATATTTATTCAGACTTCTGCTGGGATTAAAAAGGGCTTTTTATTGTATTTAAAAAAAAAAAAAAAAAAAGATAAAACTGAAAAAAGGCAAGGAGGCTGATTGGATCGAGGGGCTGGCTTCCGCTCAAGGAAGGACTAAAGAGAATAGGGGCATTCAGTTGGAAAATGATGTTTGACGTGGGAATACAATAGACATCTATGAAATCATGAATGGAGTAGAAAAGGGCGCTAGGGAATTTTTATTTCCGACAGTATAAGAAGTAGGAGGCATCTGATGAAATGATCGTTTAAAATAAACAAAAGATTTTATTTTTCACACAGTGCATTATTACCTTGTGAGCTTCCCGCTGCCGGGGACTGTGCACGCCAGGAAGATAAATGGATTCAAAGATGGCATAACAGTTCACGGGAGATTGGGTCTCTGGGTGTTAATTGTGGTTTTCTGGATGTACGCTCCAGCTCAGGAAATCCCTAAATAGGTTTTTGCAGTGAATACATCAGGTGGAAGTATGTCCTGTGTCTAAAGCTGCTGTTGCCAGCCACTGTTAGAAATAGGGTATCGGGCATTCCGAAGCCCTGGTCTACACCAGTGCATCGCTGGTGGTGGGCTGTACTGGTGGGGGGGATGTCTGCCCTCCTCCAAAGCAGTCGTCGCCCCAGGCTGGGCTGGTTTGACCAAGCTGGTGTTGCACTCTCTGGTTTGAGTATTTGGAAAGGCACTGTCTTTGATGTGTCTTGGAGGACACGAAGGGAGTGGTGGCCAGCATCCATGTGTCCTGCAAGGCTGTCCCTGAGGACTACAGAGCTGGCCCAGGCTTTAGGAATGTTGATGGTGCAAGCTGCCCCAAACCCTGTCAGATCAGGGCAGGCAACTGGAGGCTCACAACCGTGACCTTGACAGCATCAATGCCCACTTCCATCCCAAATCACTTTTATTCTCTCTCACTCTTTTATTATTTCTCTCATTCTCTCTCTTCCATTAAAAGCTTAAATAACAGCGTTTGGATGCTGCTTAGGAGTTGCAGCTTCCTTATTTGCCAAGCCATGTAGCTACCATTTCTCTGTGGCTGCACAGTGGAGAATACAGAGAATTTCTTAAATAACATTACATAGTTCTCCATCACTCGAAGGCTGGTGAGGAAGTGTATTTCTTGATAATAATTATTGTTGCTTCAATACTCTGCCAAAGAAAAAATGAGAATATCCCACTCCCAGGCAGTTCAGGTTTCAATTTTTCTGCAAGGTGTTCCTTGTTTTGTCAGCTGTGAGAAGACACGGGAGACAAATACGTTTTATTTCCTCTCCAGATGAAGAGCACAGTTGGGTCCCCGTTTTTGCCAGGCCGCGTGTCCGCACCGCACACGCAATAGCATTCGGGCAGATCCACGTGGTTTTTCTTGGAAGTAGGCACTGTGCTGCAGCATCAACCTAGTTGCAAAATGAAGTAGCCAGCGTGGGAAGATGATTTTTTTTGTTGAAGTTTGGGTTTTGATGACATTTCTGAGCTTATTACAGGTTATAATTTTGTCTCCTGACATACTTTTCTTGCAGCAAAAGAACAAAGCAGCATCAAAGCACTCCTCCGCAGCAGAAGCCTCTGACCTTAGCCTATGATGGAGACATTGATATGTAACGTAACAAAGAAATCCAAATGTAGACATCAACTGCCTTAACTGCTTTCTTTTTTGGAACTCTCTGACTTCTCAGTTTTTTGAGGAATCTCCTGATATGTAATATGCCAGGCAGAACAGAAGTATTGGAAGCTTAAAATTTTGCCACCTCTTTATTAAAAAAAAAAAAAAAAAAAAAGGAGTCAAAGACTTGCATCTTGTGAAACTTTTCTGCAGAGAGCGGAAAATACATCTCTTCCTGTTGAGCAATGGGAATAAAAAAAAAAAAAAAAGAGAATCTACAGACATCAAAAGGAGTCAGTAAAAAAAAAAGGCATGACAATCCTGAGGAAAATGTGACATTTACTGTAAATGACAAGTTTGACACAGCATCATTATGCACTATATTAGTGCAGGTTCTTTATTCTTCACATATTTCAACAATGAGTTTTCTAGTGTTTACATTTCGTTCAAAGACTTTAAACCGGATCATGTATTTTGAGAAACGCAAGGAAGAATGAGTTGAAGTGTCTGAAGTTACCGGGTTTTTTAAAGTTTCTTCCTTCTTATCCTGTTTTCTAGTCTGGAATATGATTTTGCTTCATTTCCACCTACAGGACAGAATAAGGATTGTTATGAAAAAGCATAGGTGGTTTCTTAACGAAGAATATTTTTTAAAGAGTTGAGTAGATAGGTGTTTTGATGAACGGCTAGAGAGTTTGATTGTTTAAAAAGTATTTTAAATTCAATTAAACCATGTAGATACATTACAACCAGTTTAAATTGTTATTCAGTTTAATTAATACAAACTCTGCTTTTGTATTTAAATTTTCTTATCTGAAATATTTATAAATTCTTTTTTTGAATTTAATTACCTGACCTCATTTAATATACATCAAACACAAATGCAGTTTGTAGAAGGTCTTGCTTTTTTAAATGTTTTGAAACCACTGAGAAGTTAAATGTCGTAAACATCTGGGAACATTTGAAGAGGGTAAGTGTTTATAATAGTGTGTGTCGCAAGTAGGAAAGTGCCATCTTGTGGTATTGACTTGTATTTATAAGCAAATAAAATGCTAAAGAGAGTGAGAAAATTGCTTCTGGTACGTTGAATTAAATGTGTGTAAACATCATTCATTATTAGTCTTTTGCTGCGTCTGAGATTGGACTCGGATTCCAAACAATTCTGGCATATTTTGTGCTGTAGTGATTAGTGAAAGCAATGTTAGAGACAAGTACAAGTTGAGAGAATAATTGCAGATCTGGAGAATGCTTGGTCTTATTTTTAGCTCAATGATGCTGCTTATTCCAATAATTAGAAAGAAGAGAAAAAAAAGAATAGACCACTGGCGTGGTCCTCCTCAGCCCGCAGTTACTTCAGGGGAGATGATTGCGAGAGAAGGCTGGAAGTAGGGCAGCAGGCAATGCTCGTCTTGTTATGTTGCTATTCACAGCTTTCAATATTCACAGATTTCAATATTACGGTTTCATTGAAAAAAAATGATGGTGGTGTAGCTACGTTTCCTTCCCAGGTCAGGATCCCTCACATTCAGCGTTTCTCCCGCAGCATCGAATTGAGATGATATTGTGTCACCCAAGCAAGGTCAGGAATGCGCTTTCCTCTTCCCACACTGAAAAAAAAAAGGCTGAGGGAATTGCAAGGGGAAATTGCCTCACTTATTTCTGGCCCTGAAGATGTGCAGCTGGCCCTACTTTCTTCCTTAGAGCTATAACTGTTTATGGTATAAAAAGCAGGATCTGGTGTTCCCCAGCAACATCAGGGGCTTAAATCTTTATTTAACGGTGCCCTGTACTGAACCTTTGAGTAACATGTACAGAGTAAGAGTTACAAGGGGAATGATGATCCAGAGCTATTAGGAGGAATACTGCTAGATCTTAGTATATTTTGTCTGTGGGACACGACGTGAGGAGAATGGTACTCTCTGAATAATGAAGGCATAAACTCAATTAAGCGTGCTGTTCAAAAAGGCATTGGCATGGGAAAGTTGGTGTAATAACAACACGAAATGATGGATGCAACATGTGGTCATTGCCCTCAACATCAGGGTAAATGAGAGTCCAAACAGTGATGTCCAGCACAGGAGATGCGGGCGGCGTGGTGAACTGCCTGGGGGAGCGGAGGAGCTCCTGTACAGTGCTGCAAAGTGTGTTTATGGTGAGCAGATGGATCTGGGGTTGTGCTTCAGTTCGGTGGCCTTCACGCGGTCCATCTCCCCACTTGTGCTGTAGCACCTTCTGTCCAAAGCCCACCAGGGTGTCCCAAGGGACCAGGCATGGTTCATGCTGGGGCTGGGAGCTGCACGTGAGGACACGTGAGGGACCACATCGGCTGCAGAGCTCTTGCAGTTCAGTGAAGCCCTTTAGGGCATGCGTGCACCTGCTTGACTTTGTGAGCTAAAATAAGAGAAGGGAAGGCTGACGAGGCTGCTGTTAGAGACAGGCGCTGCTGGCAATGGGCGGTGTCTGCCGGTGTGCACGTGAACCCTGTGTCTGCTCGTCGTCCAGCTTGGATTCAAATGTCACGATGTAATTGCATGTATTTGATAATTTGGGAGTGAATTAAGCTGTGAAATTGAACCGAGGAGCTGGTGACGCTGCAGGGTCCGTGAGGCTGAGAATGCAGCATAATGGAAAAAAAAGGAATCGGTTGTTCAGGCAGATACCAAGGTAACTGCTGTTTGTAAGGGCCCTAGGCAGATGTGCTGGGAGGGATGGCCAGCCTCCTGTGGGAGCACTGAAAGGCAGCTCCTACCTTTCAGAGTCCAAAACGAGTTGTGACATGGAAGAGGGATTACTCCCAATCCTTACCGAATTGGGGTTTCTAAGCTTTATGCTGAAGTAGCTGGTGCTGACCCCTGCCGAAGACAGGAGAGAGACCTTGGTCCAGTTCAGGAAGGTAACTCCTATACCCCCAGCTAGGGCACTCCATTAAGACATGTACGTGATTATAAGTGAAAGCATCTGAGGATGAAGAGCTTGCCAAACGCCCCGGCAATCTGTCTTGGTAGTTAATAGCCAGGTAACGAAAGAGTCTGCATTTTGTCATCTTTTGTTTTGACGCTTGATTTCAATGTCCGCTGCCAGGCGTCTCCTACTTTGGTATTATAGCTGTAAAACGTGCAACTTCTTTTTGAGATCTATCTTCTGTGGCATTTTCTCTCCTCCATTCAAAGACTCCCTAACGCCCAACAGTAAAACAAAATAACAGCAACTGAACTAAGACACCACAGAAAACAAATTACCAAGAAGTACTGAAGCGTTGCGTGCCTCCATCGTTCCTGCAGTCATTTCGGTTATGCTCAGGAATGGGATATGTGCATGCACAGGTACTGCGTCTACGCATGTCGCTGTGCCTGAACACTTTGGACATCTGGGGGTTTGTAGCAGGTATGTAACATCAAATGGCATTTTTCCTGGAGAAATATCCTGAAGTCTTGGGGAGCTTCCACCTTAGTAGGGCTGGATCCCAGCTGA